AAAATAATTTTAAAATAAAAAACATAATTAAAAAAATAATAAATTACCAATTCAAATTGGGGATTAGCTTCAAGTTGGAGTTTTAAAATTATTTTAAAATAAATAAAACGAAAATAAAGACATAAGAAAACTTCCAGAGAAAAATATTTAATAAAGTAATATGCTAATAAAACTTTCTATTAACAATGGAATAATATTAAATGTTAGATGATATAATAAAGAAAATACATAACAAAAACGTTATTCAATGCGCTCCCTGTATAAGTCCCGTTAGTTTAACAGAGATTTTGTTCATTAAAATTTAGATAATATTATTAAGAACAATAGAATAAAATTTAAACTAAAAAAATATTTCAACAGTAATAAATTATAAATCTTCTCATATATTACAAAAAGAAAGCGAAGTAACTTTGATTTAATAGAGATTTCATTATTGGGTATATCGTTGACAAGTAAGATGACAATTGAATTTTATTAAAGCAATACAATCTAATAGGATCAAACAAGCCCGATCATAATTTAATTTAATTAATATTTTTAATACTGGCCGCGCATCACGCGGGTACGACTACTAGTAGACCTACTAATTTCCAAGTCATTGAAAGTTCGTGGGTAACTGTCGAATTTTATAGGTTCTAAATTTTAAAATAGCGATATAACATATCTGTAACTGAGTTCTTTAATAAATTTCTTAATATAAATACAAAGTTTAGAATAAAATTCTTGGATCAGTTGAACCCTTAGATCGGCTTCTAGCTCCGCCCCGTTTAGATTTTAGAAGTTTATTATCTGGTTCCTATTTCTTTTACCCTTTCCTGATTTCTTTTATAAACTTATTAACGTAGTAGATAGGAAACGGGAAGGAGTTTAATGTTTGGTACATTATATTGTGGTTATTAATGAATACATGATATTTTTATATATGTATTTTTCTCACTTAATTGAATTTAATTAATAGATATTCATACTTCATTAGATCTTATGACAGTAGTAAATTGGTTTAATTTGGTAGTCTTTTCGCAAGAAAACTTTTTACAGAAAATGACTAATAAAAAGGGTGATATGTTTTTTGCAAGAGAACTAATGGAGCTATCTGCTTTCTCTTTAGGGCTGGGCATATATCGGGTAAAACCGATAACCCGAACCGTTAATTGTTTATTGGGTTATCGATATCGCGTTATTGGGTTAACGGTTCGATAATGGTTTAGAATTTTTTCACTATTGGGTTATCGGTTCAGGCCTCGGTTTGCCAATTTTGTTAATGGGTTAACCGATAACCCAATAAGAATTAATAAAATTACGACTTTACCCTTAAATATATACAAATGCTAGGGATTCAGTTCATTCTCTCCTATTCTTTCTCAACCGCACTCTTCAGTTGCTTCATCTTCATTCTTCATAGACCTTACTAGTTACTCCTAGCGTAAGTTTTTAGTATATTATATGTGAATTCTTCTCTTTTTTTGCTTAACTCCAGTGAATTATCTTCTCTTTTTTGCTAAACTCTTGATTGAGTTATCTTATCGGGTAAATCGATAACCGAATCGATAATGATCGATAACCGATTAACCGATACCCGATAACCGATATCTTATCGGTTCGGTTATCGGTTTATCAAATTTGTAAACTGATAACCGATATGCTAAACCGATAATATTCATAACCGAACCGAACCGACCACCCT